ACGGGAACGGGAAGAATGCCAAATAACGTCAACTCGGTTTACGTCCCCATCACTAATTGTAAGGAAACATTTTTGTCCAAAAACGAAAGCTCCAATTTAGCCAATTCTAATGTAACGGCACATTTGAATGTTATAAAAACGAGTATTTTCGTAAATTTCCTCGATGTACGCATGGTGCAGACCTACATCATGTTTATTATTGCCGGTTCATAAAACGATCTAGTAGACCTATGTCTCAAGGCAACTCTTTTGAGACTGGTTCAAGTTGCCCTCACGGACTCAAACTTCAATTAATAAATTGATCTTTAACAAGAAAACGAAGAGGTGACAAAAACTTTTAGAGTCAGAAAACTTTTTGCACAAAACAAACGTACGCACACGTTTCTTATGCTACTTAAGTCAATATGTCCACACAAGTGATTTATCGCTCATTCCATTGGATGTTCAACCGTCAACTACAAAAGAGTCCACTATTGGTCTTGAGTAAGAATCAAATGCAATTTCGTCAACATAACGCCATTGTACAAAGGATAGGCGACTGTACATAGGTGTGTATTACACAATCACACAGTTGGTGTGGCTAAATCGTGGCAGGTATTGCCAGTGGTAAAGCGTGCTACTATATTTATTATGTTCTGCTATCTTAATTAGATATTACTATTTTATTAGGGTTTTAGATATTGCCAGCTCTGCCGCAACTTTTCAATTGAATACAGTTTCGTTTTTGAACAGAAGTGTTTGTTTGCCTTAGTTGAGGCTTTAGTACATAGAAGTAGCGGATTGCGATCCGCTACACTTGTACTGGTTCTTGGAAAGAAGGTAAGGTCGGTGATCTTTACTTAGCTTCCCCTAAGCAAATAGCTACAGCAGCCCCGCTGCACATGGAACACCTCTTACATCTGAATCGTACCGTCTGGTCCTTTGTGAAGATAAAGGAGTTCTTTAATTTGCCCCAGAGAATGCAGGACGGGCTTAATAAGCTGATATCTCTGCTGGGCCCTGAGGGCATTGAGCACCTCGTTGTGCAAGGGCCCGAAGCGATAGGCGCGCGCCTAAGCGCGTTTCAAAATTATGAAAATGCTATGTTAGAGCACCTAAGCAGAAGCCGTCAGCGTCGACTGCGTCCATGACGCCACCGACGACGACGGATGACTCCTTTCGATCCTCGTGGTGAGCTTAAAGACCTTTGAGAGTAAGGATGGAAAAAATATTCTTCACGGGGTTTAAAATGCTGAGATGGCTATGGCATCCGACATGCTCCAAAACGAGCAACAGCGCGAAGCGCTAGTTATCTCCAAGCTCGGGGGTCGAGCGCAAGAATGGGCAGTAATGTGCGGTTGGTTGAAGCTGTGTTTCCCTCCTGGAAGGAGTTTTAGCGTCAGCTCTGCGAGTGTTTCGCCGCCTAATCAGGTATATCGCGTGAGATCGCGTTGCCTTGCTGCCCGACGGGGCAAGAAGGAGTTGGTGGACTTTGTCCAAAAGTTGAGAGCTCTTATTGCCGGGATGTCAGCAGATCCTTTCCCCGAGGCGGTCGAAGTGGCCGTCTTTATTGAGGGCCTCCGCACTGGCGTGGTCAGAATGGAAGTCTTCCGTGTGCATCCGCCTTCTTTTGTAGAAGCGGTAAATGTGGTATTGAATGCCGAATTCAACTTTAAGTTGGTACGACTTGGTTGGAATGCACACCCTCAGAGCTCGCCGAGCGGGCCTGAGCCAATGCATCTCAGCTATGCTGAGAAGGATGAGGGAGAGCGCCGAGCTGCTGAGCAGCGTGTAAAGACCCGACGGTGTTTTGTTTGTGGAGACACCCGTCACCTCCGGACTGGTTGTCCCTTGCGCAAGGCGCGTAAAGGTTCGACGAGCCAACGTCCCACGTCAAAGCAGTCTGCTTTGACGCGAAAAAATGAGAACTCTCAGTAGGCACGGGGCGCCCAACTGGGGGAAAACTGAGTTCTGTTGAGCCTCAAAGATGTAGAGAGCAGCAGAGCCCAGCCCCGAAGAGCTGCGTGCTCTTGAACATTGAACGTGTATGCAAGCTGGGACTGCTGGTCGTTAAACGACTGTGAAGGGCTTTGAGATGCCATGTAAAATCCTTATTGATTCTGATGCGGTGGACATTAATGCTCGGCGCTCCACGAACGAAGGAAGTCAGCTGTATGCTGAGGCGCCGAAAGCGCTGGAAGCGCGGTTGAGTGACACCGTCACTGTCGCTTAGCGACGGGGGCTTGTGCCACTTTGGCGAGAGTCCCTGTGGACCTCGCTGGCAAATTCCTTAACTTTGATAGCGTAGAACGCTGAATAGTCTTAGACTTGGATTTAAGGTATGACATTATCCTTGGTATGACATGGTTTGTACACCATGAGCCATGGATTGATTTGGAGGTTGAAGACCTTGGGCGCTACGCGCACGTCCTCTAATGGAGCTTTGGTGGGTCATGAACCCACCACTGCTAGGAAGCAGAAGCGCTATTGGCGCGGGCCGGTCAATGTTCTGGATATCAGAGCATCCGAGTTACCGAACACCAAACGTGTTTTAAACAAGATTCTCGAGCGTCGCTCGCGGGTTGAACGTGGAGTGGCACGTAACCCACTGAGCGTTGCCCATGTATTGGTGCAGCCGCTGCATGCCACGAGTGGCATGGTCGGCCGAGGGCCGGGCATCAAGGGTGAGACCGTTGTTATGCACGTGGAGTGGCACGTAATCTACTGAGTACTGTCCATATTACGAAGCAGTTACTGCGTGTCAAAAATTGCATGGTCGGACGAGGTCCGAGACATCAAGGGCGAGGCTCTTGTGATGCGCGTGGAGTGGTACGTAAACTACTGAGCACTGCTCACGTTTTGAAGCAGTTACTACATGCCAAGAGTGGCACGGTCGGACGAGATCAAGGCACCCTGGGCTAGACTCTTTCGAATGCGCGTGGAGTGACACGTTATCCACTGGACGAAGATGCGGAGATAGCAGCCTTCGTCGGATGTTGTTGATAACATCGAGTCTCTAATTGAGCAGAGAGTACTGGACGACGCCGAGTGTGTGTTCTCATTGGTAAAACCTCTATCGAGAGGAGATGGCGAAGCCGTATGTTATCTGCAAGACGCAGGGCGTCGACCCTGGTCCAGGGTGTGTCTACCGTAGACGATAGCGAATAGCTATATATCCTTCCCTCGTCAACGGTATGATAAACGATGAAGGAAGCAACGACACCTTCGAGGCTATTCCCGCGGTGGGTGCTCTTCATGAGCTGGACGAGATGTCGTTCGAAGAGTTTAGCGACGTCTTGAAGGCAGAAGATTAACCTGTCGTCGCTTGTGGATGATGCTGTTCTGGAGGACACTATAGGGTGCTGATCGCACGAAGTAGATCGTCGATCCTAAAGGATCCATATTATTCTTCAATAAAGGAATTCCAAGACGTTGTCTCCAAAGACCCGATGTTGGTCCTACCTTGGACCGAGGTGTGCATCATGAGATTGACCTGGTTCCGGGAATCAAATACTGCATAACACGCCAATGGCCCCGCCCAAAGAGCAGTGCGACGTCATTGACGCCTTTTTTCCGTGCGGATCGCGAGGCAGGAATAGTATGTGAGAGTTAATCTTCCCATGAGAGCGAGTGATATTCCACTGACAGCCGTGAGTACTCCGAGCGAGATGCTCTGGAAATGGCTGGTGGTGTTCCAAAGGCTGTCAAATGCACCAGCAACATTTACTCGTCTTGTGAAGCAATTGTTCAGGCCCCATCGGGCGTACGCACAGACATACTTTGATGGCGTCATCGTTCACAGTCGTGCCCTGGAGAACAAATGAGGAAAACTACATCGTCCATTTAAGAGCGGTGCTCGAGTGCATGCGCACGGATAAGCTGTCTGCTAATGCCGATAGGTACATCGTCGGCGCGGAAGAAATTTCCTTTTAAGGGTGCTTCATTCGGAAGCGTGGCCTTCGGGCGGATCCCGCTAAGGTCAAGACCATTGTGGGCTAGCCGGTTCCAGAGAACCGAAAGGACTTGCACAAGTGGCTTGGTCACGCCAACTACTTGCACAAGTATAGCTCAAATTATGCGGAAATGACACGGTTGTCGGCGAATCTCCTTAAGAAGGATAAGGAATGGTGTTGGGATACCGAACATCAGGAGACTTTTGACAGGGTCAAAGACAACCTCCTTTATGCTCCAATACTGGCGTTGCCTGACCCCGATCCCCTTTTTAGTGTTGTCTGTGACGCTTCAGACTTTGCCATCGGCTGTTCACTGCTGCAAGGGAGCAAGATCGAATGATCGCGTTCGAATCTCGCCAGCTTAAGGCTGCGGAGATGAACTACCCAGTCCACGACAAGGAATTACTTGCGATGAAGCATGCACTTGTCCAGTTCAGGGTGCACCAGCTTGCCTAAAAACCGTTTGTGGTCTACACATATCACGCGTCCTTACGCACTGCGACTCAGTCGCTTCACCTCTCGCAGAGGATGGCCAGGTGGCTCTCATTCTTTGCAGAGTATAATTTCGAGGTGAAGTATAACTAGGAAAGCAGAATGCTTCAGTTTATGCGTTGTCACGCAGACCGGACTGTGAGCTTGCTCATGTCACGGAGATGACGTCGTCGGTGGTGGATTTGATCCGCGCTGCATACGCGGGTGACAGTATGTGTGTAGCGCTGCTGCAGGATCTTGGGGGAAAGAGTCAAATTGTCGGCGCGTTTGCGCGTACGGTTACACCGAATTCGTTGAGTAAAAGGTTGCTGTAATATAGCACCGATTCAACGGATACGCCACGAATTGTGGTTCCTCCCGATGAGGATTTAAAATACTGTATTCTCTAAGAGACCCACGACAATCCACTCAGTGGGCATCTCGGTCGTGAGAAGACGTACAGCTCGGTGAGTTGCCACTACTGGTAGCCCAAGCTGTACAAATGAACGAGCACATATGTGCGCACGTGTGGGACCTGTCAGATGGTGAAATCCTCTTGCAGCGGTGCCACTGGCCAGCTTACCGGAACCCAACGGATTTTGGCAGTCCATGAGTATAGACTTTGTGTTTGGTCTATCGAGGGACTCGGCAGGCAACACGGGTTTAGTGGTCTTTTTGGACCATTTGCGCAAGATGGCTCATCATGCGGTAGTGCCGGACACCATCGACGGTGTGGGTACAGCGACGTTGTTTGACGTTCGTGTCTTTCGACAACATAAATTCCCGGAATAAACTGTCTTTGATAGAGACCCGCGCTTCACTGGAAAGTTTTGGTTACATTCTTAAAGGTGCTGAGCGCCAAGTTGACTATGTCAACAGCAGACCATTTGCAAATCGATGGTCAGATTGAGCGCGTGTATCGCGTCGTCGAAGACGTTCTTCGCAGCGTCTGCGCTGAGACGCCGAAACGCTTGAGCTCTATGTTGCCACTCGTATCCTGCCCGACGGCTAAGAGCCACTCCGACAGAGCACGATATTCCTTAACGCGAGGCAGTCGGTGCGCAGAGTGCTCCAGATCCTGAGGTCTTTCGCACAGCGGTAGGAGACCTCGGAGAGACGCTCGGCAGAATGCCGATGGCGACGGGTATTGTTCTCCAACGCTCGAAGATCATCGCGAGTCATCGACCAAGTCGTCATGGTTCACCGCCGACTCTTTTTAATGAGAATGG